TCAAATGAAAGCTACTGAGCACTTCTTTGCTATAGTACTGTTTATTATGATGTACAAGGTGGTTTTATTTTTTGAGTCTGTGAATGAAATTGTGTAGTGTTACCATTCAAATTACACCTTTTCAACTGTACTTTCGCAAGGTTCCAGATGTCCTTGAGTATAATTTACAAAGAGTAAATACTATTTTTTTTAAGTTTGCTAACTGGACTTCATAGTTGTTAAAGGGTTGAGGTGGCCCACTTGTATGTGCGTTGCCGTTTTCTTCTTTCAAAATGTGAAGTATTACGGCTTATGTTGGTTACACTCTGTGCAACTTGCTCCCCTAAGTAACGAATAATGGCATGCTATTAGACACAATACGTTAACACAAGTTTCAGGAAACCACATTATAAAACGGCTTAACTTGAAGTAGGTTTGAGAATGTTCTAATGGAATTTCTGATAAAGAGTGCATGAAAATGTTTCACGCCTTTGTGGAAACGCCCCGTGTTTATTACTAAAGGACCATTTTGCTTAAAACGTGGACTTTAATTCCTGGTTATGATCAAATTGTTGATTGCTCATGAATAGAACAGAGTAAATAACATGTCTGATGTACAAAACTTTCCAATCATAGAGCTCACTATTTTATTGTGAAGTTAAAAAAATGTTTAGACTAAGGCAATTTCAATATTTTTAGCTTAAAGTTCGACTGATGCTAGTAATTTTCTGACTTCTGACTCAAATGAAACCCAATGGGCAATACTTTACCTGCGGCGCTGTTGCTTCTAATTGACAAAGGGAAATTTAGGAAGCGGCTCTGAAAGGGTTCTGACCTTTTAATTTCCAGAGTCAGTAGAGACTTTGAAACGGATGACGAAATCATGTAATGTCACCATTCAAATGAAAGGTACTAAGCAGCACTTTCCTGTAGTACTGTTTTAATATTACGCTGTTCACAGTGGTTGTAAACTTTAATCCTATGGTATGACCATTCAAATGAAAGTTACTGACCACGACTTTCCTGTGGTGTACTGTTCATTACGCTAAACAAGTTGTTTCTACCTTTCGAGTCTGTGTATCAAGTCCTATAGCGTTGCTATTCAAATGAAAGCTTCCAAGCACCTCTTTGCTGTGATACTGTTAATCTTAATTATTATGCTGTACAAGGTGCTTCTTACTTATGAATCTGTGGATGAAATCCTATGGTGTGACCATTCAAATGAAAGCTACTGAGCAGTACTTTCCTGTGGTACTGTTTATTATGCTGTACAAGGTGCTTCTTACTTATGAATCTGTGGATGAAATCCTATGGTGTGACCATTCAAATAAAACCTGCTGAGCACTTCTTTGCCGTGGTACTGTTTATTATGATGTACAAAGTGAATCCCACTTTAGAACCGGTGGATGAAATCCTATGGTGTGACCATTCAAATGAAAGCTACTGAGCACTTCTTTGCTGTAGTACTGTTTATTATGATGTACAAGGTGGTTTTAACTTTTGAGTATGTGAATGAAATTGTGTAGTGTTACCATTCAAATTACACCTTTTCAACTGTACTTTCGCAAGGTTCCAGATGTCCTTGAGTATAATTTACAAAGTGTAAATACTATTTTTTCTTAAGTTTGCTAGCTGGACTTCATAGTTGTTAAAGGGCTGAGGTGGCCCACTTGTATGTGCGTTGCCGTTTTCTTCTTTCAAAATGTGAAGTATTACGGCTTATGTTGGTTACACTCTGTGCAACTTGCTCCCCTAAGTAACGAATAATGGCCGTAGACAGCCAAGAAACTCACTAATTCAAATAACATGATTAGGTAAACGTTCTCTGACAAAATTCGTTAAAATACATGTTTGTGTTGAAATCAATAAAATAGCACGATGTCTGCAGTAAATCTAACTCCCTAACCATGGTCATTTGTACTTTGGCAAACCTTTCACCGGGAGGAAAAATTAAAACTCAAAGGAAATCTCAACTGTGATTTTTTATTAACAACTAACACACTGCAGAATGGTGAGTCGTTTAAGCGTTTGTATTGACTGATACGGATGTTATTCCCCGTTAGTAGTTAATTAGCAGTAGTGAAAATGGAGTTATCTAAAAGGTGAACGGCCAACTTCATTTTCTACCGAAAGGGAATCACGGAACAAATACTTCAAAACTCATGGCGTTGGCATAAAAATGCAAAACGAAAAAAATCCACCCAGAATTTGTAAAGTCAGCAACTACAAGCGTGTTTAATGAACTGCTACACCTTCAGACTTGATTCATAGATTCACCCTAAGAACAAACCTATCGCAAGACAAACGAACAGGACTTTTATATCGCCAGTTCTCATTCGATATCACATTTAATTATTTCAGTAGTGTTACACTTATTCAAAGCCGAGCTAGAAACATCAACTGAGCTCGACAAGTATGTCTTCTTCATCGTTTTGATTTCATCGCAAATGGGTTCCTGAAATAACTCTTTAACTTATGAAAAGAGTTAGACCTTTTTTAAAAGTGCAGATACATTTTTAACATTGCCTGCCTAAAAGGGTTCCTACGAGTTACAACAAACACAAAAACAGCAGTACAGGAATTTTGCATTAAAAACAAAGACAATTAAATCGATTTAATGAGGTCCATTCTTTCCATTGGCTCAAGATGGGACAAGGTACAACATAACTGAATTATGGTTAACATTTTTCACGAACTAGGATTTCTCAGAAGACTATTCAAGCGATTCACTGTAAGTTCACATCAACTTCTAGCGTAAAACAACCTTATTTTTAAGTTTCAGTCGTCTCTTAGCAATACAGGTGCCATTTGGATATTAAGAAAAACTTAGGTGACGTCGTAATTTTTGAGGGGTGTCCTTGATATTGGTTCGATCTGATGCTGTTATGTTGTTACTGTTTAGGCGGCAGTTACTACTATTTAATTCTATCATGAAATGGACCATCAATGCGCTTTACGATCTGGTATTCGCTGCCAAAAGGTTGCTGAATCGGTACATTTTGATACATCTCGCAAAACTGACAACCATCCGAGCATTTTACAAAAGCGCCGCGCAGGAAGGAACTTGGTTCCTTTTCATCTTTTCTTTTTTCCTGATTGGTCTTGCTAAAGGTGCAATATTACTGAAAAAAAAAATTAAAAACAAGAAATACCGACTGCACAGTAATTGCGTAGCAGGAAGCAGTTTGCGTGCTTTTGATCGAAGTCTGGTTATTACCACTGTATTACTTTGTAAAGAGGCAGATACGTGGATAATATCATATTCATTTGTGAGCTCTGGACAATTAGCTAGGGGACACGACTGCAACTGGTCTCAAGCAGAGTCTATTCAACCGTTAAGAGCGAACAGCCTTGTATCAGGTAAGCTATGAAGCATCGAACACGATAGATTTTTTCGAAAAAGAGCCGTAATTAGTGATCTACGCCCTAAAGGTTCGATAGCAAGGCTCAGATACAATCCCGCGACAGAGGTAATTCAATGACAAATGCGGTTGGCTAACTGCTATGACTATTTACATGTTGAAGACTGGACGATTCGACTTGCTTTGAAAAGTTAGCTTTGAAATATACCTTGAAAGTTCCCAGTCAAACATCTTCATAAAGCCCTTATCCTTAAGTTTTGACTTCCATTCAGTTAATTTCAGTAAAACGGAACTCAATTAACTTTATCCCCACAACAAAAGGTTTCAATGGGCATTATAAAATAACGATATAAATATAGCTATTCTACTGCAGAATGGACAAAGATAAAACATCATCAGTAGAACTGAAAGGACAATGGATAATCGTGACATTGAGCGCTGCGTTTTTTCTGTTCATTGACAACAACATTCGTTTGTGGGTGCTCATAAGGTTTAAGCCATGAGAAATAAGACTTTTGATCACAACGTTGAGAAAGAATGACTACAAGATTCTGGTGTCTTGCATAATGAAACTCGGAGATATCTTTCGATATATTTTGAAAAGAAAACCGCAAACAAACTTGCCTTGGAAAAATCAAAATGTGAAATGACAATTGAACTTTTAATTACAAAGCACTCAGGAGAGGAAAAAAATAGCGTATTTCTAGCGAAGGGCATAGCAAAATTCTTTGGCCAAGAGCATATGACACAAAAAATGCCATTCTAGAGAAATATGGAATATTTTACTCCAGGACATGGCGTGGCAGTTATGCTCGATGACAATCCCTAATTTGCTTATTGCTCTAAATGAAATCGAGCCCGCCCCCTCAATTAGTTGATTGAAAACACGGCTTCTATGACCTACGGTATAGACCACGTATCTGCTGGTATCAAAACCGTTATTTTTTTGTAATGTTATCACGTGGAACACAGTTCGAGAATTGCGGCGGCGACCCTTAGGGAAAAATAACATAAAAAGACTTTAAATATCGCAATCTTTTGACACCTTTGATTTATGTTATCTCAAATCAGCAAGATGCTGTGACTTTGACACCACTTAAACACTTTGACTGCTGTGGCAGCGAAAAAACAGACATTTTGCTTTAGTTTATAAATCAGTGTCACTCGCGAAACGTGATAAGAAACACGTCTGTTCACTCATTGCTCATAAACGTCGTCGCGAATTTAAAACGGATAGAAAGAAGCACAGCTTTACCACACACATAGATCAAACAATTACTTTTGAATAAAACACACCTTTACAATAAAAACCATTGTTCAAGCGAGCACAATAAAAGTGACATTTAGGCGTTGCGTTCATACTCGAATGATCACTTACAAAGGAAGGACCGGGACCAAATATATTTCGATGTTATCGGAGCCCGTATCACATGGGCGGGTTGATGATTTGACCCGCCATAATTCACGGCTATATATACTTTGAATGAAAACAGGGAACATATGATTGAATACATTCCTTTGTATGTTAGAAAGTGACAGCTTTCTGTCTCGGTTGGTGGCATAGTGTTATAATCCAGACCAATAGTGACAGTAATTTTATAATCATAAGGCCTGTTTCTCTCTCTCTCTCCTCAGCGAGGCCTCGTTGATTGCAGCAAAATGGCGGGCTATTTTGGGCATGTCGGCGGACATATGCCACCATACCCTGTAAACAGCCATGGACTAAGCCATCCAGCGCCCAACATTGATTTTTTCAGCCAAATGGCCCCTCCGTCTTGTGGTAAGTGCCTCGTGAATACACTTGAATTAGATTTAAAAGCGGCCTTGCAGTGACTCATTCTACAGGGGTTTGTTGCAACCAGTTACAGTTGCATGAAAGTAGCGTGCTCTTTACGGTTGAATTCTGTGCGGGTTTTGCGTAACAGCAACTTGAACAAATGAACTGAAGATTAATCACAAGCTTTAGTTAATTTATCTATTGGATTTTCATTTCCCGTGCAAGAAGGTCACGGGATACCACTGCAACTTAATCGTGACAAGACCTTGTGTTTAATCTTCGTTCTAGTCCATTTTATCCCCGACACAATTCATTGAAAGACACGACTGTGAATCTAAAGGCTTAAATTATCCGCGCTTTTGCATAGAACGTGACGGAAGCCATCGTTTCATAGCCGAAACAGCAATAGATTTGGAGGAAATGTGAATTTGCGCAACTAACTACATGCACGTCGCTGAGAAACGCGTCTTGAACGTTACACATGCATCTCCTTGGGCAGTTCTTCAAACACTTTATTTGCTAATTGAAAAATGGGTTTACATACACGGATTTGCTCATGGAACAATGTTTAAACAGGCCTTGTTTGTTACATAATTACACATCATTAAAGGCTTAGTAAATCATCATCGATTTCATGCAGTTCGTGGTGTGAGGAAACCTGTCATTTAGCTCAACAGTTGACAGAATGGATCGGACAAGTCAGTCCTTCATTTGCCTTACATTTGTCAAAGCAACGTTATTTCTAGTTATCTAGATAAACAAATTCACTTCACTTGGCTAAATTAGAGTAATTTGACATTTTTATGAACTTCTGATTGACTTCATTTGCGGTCAGCCGTGGTTTCTGTGGGTCGCCTCTTCTATGCTGTCCCAGAATTGTTAAATGTTTCTTCAAGCTCACGAGTTGTATAATTTCGCTAACCACTGAGTTACGTGACGAGAATAGAGTTGCTGGATTTGAAATTGTCTTGATCGGAATAGAATGGCAATGAAATAAATAAATTTCATTTAACCGAGAGGCCTAGACTCGTAGTTGAATTATTACTGCAGTATGACTGTTCTTTCACAAACTCTTCAACTATCAAAGTGCGCATTCAATTGCAACAGGCAGTCACTTTTTTTATAAAAAGCTGTAGGGAGGCTGCACGAGGTGCTACTTTTTTAGTATCATTCCGCAAGGTAGTAAAGCTTCGGAGCCTCTGTGACACAGTTTCTATGAAGTGAAGGCGAGCCGCTGAGTGTGGTATATCGGTATGTTTGTTTTTCTTTCGTGGATAACGATGCCCTTGAATGTTGAATCTTGCCTCACGCAAAAAGCACGAGAGATGCTGTTTCTGTTGTCTTTTTTGTATTCAAAGGTTTTCGTTTTTTTAACTCTTGCAACTTGCAATACAGGCGACTAAAAATGTTGGTTAAATGATTAGTGCTAAGAACTGATAGGCCACCATAGAATAGTCCTAAAAACTTGCTACAAACTGATGTGAAAGGTGCAGAAAGAGCTACAGCATCTTTGCAACTGAATTTAGAATTCACAAAATTGGTCTCATTTGCTCGACCTATGAGCATCTCCGTTCCGAAGGGCACGTAGTAAAGCTCCTAAAAACAAAGTTAGTGTAGGATGGTTTGAGGTACCGGTGGTAACAAAGATAATTGGTTCGGTTTGTATCTTTAGATCTGGATGCCACTAAATGCGCCTGTACATGTATATTCAGTTAAAGAAAAACGTAAAGTTGAATTTGTAAACGATAATTTAAATGTGCAATCATACTTTCAACGCAGGTCTTCAAGGTTTATGCCATAGTTTTTTAATCAGTTTACTTTTGGATTCTGTGCGCGAAATTGCATCCCAAAATGCGCCACTGAAAATAAAGCCTCTTTAAAACTGTACTTTCCTGTGGCACTGTTAAATTTGTTGTACAAGGTATAGAAAACTACAGTGTGACCTTTCCAAAAATTTGACCGGTGCTGTTTATTCAGCTGCGTAGATTACTCTCTTAACTTTTGAGTCACTGAATGGAATCTTTTGAGGCTTCCCATCCACAATGAAGCTATTCTGATAAACTTTGTTTGGTAGTCTGTTAGTTCAACATTATGCTTTTTAAGATGATTTTTGTTTTTCAAAATAAGATGAAATGTTATAGTGTGAAAAACAACGGCTACTGAACAGTTGTTTATTATCCTATACAACATCGGCTTCATCTTCTGAGTTTTCTGGACGCTAAGCTTCAGTGTGGACGATTCAGTTGAAAGCTTCTAGAAAAACGCCACGAACATTCTACGTTTATTCATATCTTCGGACAATTAAACGTTTGTCAGAGTTGTATTCGGCACTTTTGTAGGTGCAACGATTATCAAAGAGAAAGGCAGTTGCAGGGGATATATCATTAAGTCAGTTTTGGTTATAATACGATGTTTTGTCTGGGCGTACATCCTTAAGTACAACATTCTGTTCAAATGAAAACTAGTATTGTTATAATGTTATTATGAGGCAATAGATGGAGTATTGTAAACTAGCCTTACGAAAACAGGACAAGAAAATCGATTATCTTCACCGCACATGTTGCTGATATTGACAAAGTAAAGTCACTCAGAACTTTCAGCCAAAAGACGGAACAAAAATAGAATAACAACGTTTAAGATCTAAGTTTTATCTCGCTGGACGAGCAGAAAATGCCAAATTACGGGTACAAATAACTAGCTGTGCATAGTCAGACTTGTTGTGCTAAAATACTTTTATCTACTCTTGGAAGAAATATTCTCACTTTGTGTCGACCAACAATGCATATTTTCCGTGCATGCACGATATCACGTGAGTTTTCTCATGGACGGTTTCTAAGTTCATTTAAAGTGAACTGAAACGTCTCACAATTTTGTTTAAACTGAGAGCGACTTGAACTAACAATACTATGAAGAGAAGCTAAAACCAACCTACACAGGAAACAAAACTATACAACGTAAAATGAAAACTACCGTACAACATCTCTGGATGTACCAGAGGATTGTAACTGGTCGAGCGCCATTTTTGTACTGGTTATTTTCAAAATGAGTTGAAGTCTAACTTGTCAGGTATTCGTACGCAACAAAAGTGACAGATTTTTAGCATTTTTAGCAATCACCCTTCCCACAACGCTAACAAGAACTCAAGAGGATGTCTTCAGTTGGCGTTGACCGCACGAATTCGAGTCACATATAATTGCTTGACTTTTTCGAAGCTAACTACGTGCCGCACAAAATCTTGAAAAAACTATTTCACTGAGAGCCTTTTGAAAACATTTCATTCTGTGAACATTTAAAGTGATACATGTACCTCTTCCTTGGTATTACCTTCACATAGTGCTATTCGTTTTTACACACTTTATAAAATCGAGGTTGCTTCTTTTGTTTTATAGCCTAGAATTCAATGTGTAGCACTCTATCTGTACCCTTAGGCTAGGCGAAATTTCTCTTCTCTAAGTGCGATGTGATACTTCAAAACACAGTAAGATAGAGCAAAACTGAACAGCTAGTTGGAACAGAAACTGCAGGACTACATGCAACTATTTGTAGCCAGAGTACTGCCCACCGCCCCTTGCGTTAAAAAAACATATATAAATAACAAGAATTCTTTAATTTTTTTAAGCAAAGAGGATGGGCCTTTGCATGTGAGACGTCTTTGTGAAAGGCGCTCTAAAATCCAATACTACTCTTCTGGCAATACTTATAGCCGCCACAATGTCTCTAAGTATGGATGTAAATACCACTATAGCACTTTACACTAAACTTTGCTAGTTCTATAACTATATTCAAACACTTTAACATCCTATGAAATCCTGTAGTGTGACCATTCGAATGAAAGCTACTGAGCAGTACTTTCCTGTGGTACTGCTTATTACGCTGTACAACGTGTTTCTAACTTTTGTGTCTGTGGATGAAATCCTATGGTGTGACCATTCAAATGAAAGCTACTGAGCAGTACTTTCCTGTGGTACTGTTTATTATGCTGTACAAGGTGGTTTTAACTTTTGAGTCTATGGATGAAATCCTATGGTGTGACCATTCAAATGAACTTTCCTGTAGTACTGTTTATTATGCTGTACAAGGTGGTTCTAACTTTTGAATCTGTGGATGAAATCCTACACCTCTTTTGTAGAACTTTTACATAGTACTAGTCATTTCTTAGGATTTTAAGAGAGAAATGTGCAGTTCTGTGAATTTTTTTTTTACTTTCGCTTAAAAAGCCAGTTTCTCTTGACCTTCATGAATTCAAGGCAAATAGAGTGCGCAACATCGATTTAACTCCAGCACCTAAACTTGAAATTAAAAAAAGAAGAAGAAGAAAGACGAAAAGCAAAAAAACGCGGAATTTTATATCATGTAATACTGAAATGAAAGGCATGCAAAAACGCTCCATATTTGAAGGGTAATACCGAAGTATTTGCCAAGTGTCCATAGAGTCAAAAGTTAGAACAACCTTGTGTAGCACAATAAACACTACGGAAGAAAAGTTCTGTTTGGCCATTGCACCCTGGCGGCACTTCATAGCAGTTTGTTGCAATCGAAAAAGCTCTTGTTTTCAATTAATCTTCACCTGTTATAAGCCTGTTTGAGTTCATTTACACATTTTAACAAGATAGCTTAGCGTTTATCAATTAAAAGTCCTCGTGTGGCTTAAACTAAAGTTCTTCCCTAAGTAAGCATGACCCAAAAGGACACTAATTTTAGTTTAATGAAAAAAAATAATTTGACCTTTCCCTCCCGTGAGTGGCAGAAATGAGAAAGGATGGTAATAGTTAGAAGAAATCTTGGCAAAGCGAAAGTGCGGTACACGTTCTGCCGAAGAAAATTTATTTGAATTGTCACACCACTAGATATCAGCCACAGAAACAAAAGCTAAGACCACATTGTACAGCATAATAAAATAGCACCATAAAAGTTGTCAGTAGCTTTCATTTGAATGGTCACACCATAGGATTTCATCCACAGACTCAAAAGTTAAAACCACCTTGTACAGCATAATAAACAGTACCACAGGAAAGTACTGCTCAGTAGCTTTCATTTGAACGGTCACAGTAAATTGCTTGTCTCCATATAATCGACCTCAGGGGTAAAAAACCGCACGTATCGACCCGACCTTCGAAAAGAATTAATTAGTGAGCTCTTCCTTTCAAGCATAGAACGATCTTCCTTCGCCAATTAAATGCACTGTGGGCGCCAGATGTTATAATAAAAGTAATTAATAATAATAATATCTTCTTTGGTGAGAAAGAGCGAGCGAACCATGAAGTGGCAAAATCGTCAATGCGGAAAATTCTCACTTCTAACCATATAACGAATAGATCAGTGGGTTAGCCAAGCCTTTGTAGTATCTGGTTTTCATTAGTATTAAGGGTTGAATAATGCCTATTTCATGTCATGCCTTTATAACCCCCTCAGATAGCCCTAGACGCCCATTCATTGCGGTGGTTTCACTTCCTCTGTTCTTTGGTTAGCAAAACATATGTTTTATTTTCGGACCTGGCATGTAGTCTCCCGACCGATGCTGTTTATAGCCTAAAATAACCCTTTGTGTCGTAACAGTATAGTGGCGGCCATCCAAGTTCAATAACCTGCGTGATAGTTTTTGCTCGAATAAGCACATCCAAGGTTTTCTCAGTTTACGTAGTGAAAAGATGGGATCTTTTATACAGCGTACCGTGCACGGTACCACAGGAAAGTGCTGATTCAAATGGCTGGCCAGAATTGTATTCAAATGATTTTTCGCTCTAACTTTTGCATCTGTGGATGAACTACTATGTTGTTACCATTCAAATGAAAGCTACTGAGCAGTACTTTCCTGTGGTACTGTTTATTATGCTGTACAAGGTAGTTCTAACTTTTGAGTCTGTGAATGAAATCCTGTGGCGTGACCATTCAAATGAAACCTCTTTGGCAGACGCGTTGCATCATACTATTTAAATCTTAGGATTTTGAAGAAAAAAAATTGTATCAAAAAAAAGCTTAAAAACGAAACCGGTTAGCCAGGTGAATTTTATCGTAATATGTTCATTGTGCCTTTCCACGACTTTAGACATTAATATTTTTTTGATAAGCTTGTCTCAACAGCACGTCGTTCAATTATGACTTTATTTTAATTTTTTCCTGTTTACTCTAAAGGTAGCCTGTGTACAGACCCCCTCCGATTTTTCGTGAGGGGAGGGGGCGGGTCTGTACACAGGGTACTCTAAAGGCTATTTCGATTTTGCATGAAATTGCCACACATAATTGTGTAATAAGTTACACATTGTACTAAATCATGACGATAAAAGCTTGCAACACTGGCTATTTCTTGATTTCCCAAAATTTACGTGAATGGAACCAATGTTTTTTGTCTTGTTTTCCACTTCCGTTGGACTGCAATGAATAATTAAAGACTAACAGGTAATATTAATTCTTTGAAGTATTCCCGTGGCGCTTCCGATTTGTTTTTAAGCCCAGAATCACGGCATCAAAGGAAAGCTATACACAAAAAATTTAATTTAGATACACTCGTTACACTCGAGGCAAAATACTAGAAAAATATGTTTGTATTGGAATCCGATATTGCCTAATTTGCGAGGAAAAATGATTTGTTAATGTTCTCAGCGGCTTTAATCTGTAGACGTCTGGCAACAGATCTTGTTGTTTAAATTTAAAGAATGTGTTCGTGGATGAATGGAAATCACGCAATTTGGGAACGCTGTAGTTCCCAAGAAATAGCTAGGTAACAAAATTTTTCACGAACGCGAGAACGAAGAGACTGCACTTATTTGTGACTAAAAAAATGTAATAGCTTCCACAAGATCGTTTTCTTGGTCAGAAGATGATTACAGAAAGTATTGAATGTTTTGCGAATAGTCAATGCCCATTTTTTGTGTAATATATATAATCCCCCTGTTTGCCTGCCTCTTCGGCCACTGGCAACAGTTACAGACTCACGGATGCAGTACCACAGGAAAGTACTGAACAATGGAGGGAGATTTTGTTTAGGGTGAAAAAAGAATACAGATTTGGGTTCCAAATTGGATTGGGAAAATTTCTGGTGTTGATCTGCAAAATTAAAAGGAAAATTTCACATGTTACATGGTAACAAAATCAACCGTTCGTGCTCAGAATATATTTGGAAAATGATACACTTTGGTTCACTGGAAAAATCATCTGTTTTTTTTTGTCTGAAGATGGAGGTTGTTTTACAATTTTAGTCAGGAAATAGTAAGAAAAACTACCGTGTTTTGGCCTCAATATAGCCGGAGGTACCGGCTTATTCTGGTCTCCAAATAGCTAGAGAAACGAAGTACAAATTTTGCTGAGGTATTGCTTGTACAGATTTGATCAGAAAATGAGTTGTGACCTCAATTTCTTATTTTGGTCTGAAAAATAAGGAAGAA